CCGGGCTAGGTACCCAGCCACATGCTGCCACTGAGGCCCGGCTTCATCATTCCCCTTTACATCATTTGTCTTCCTTAACACTCTTCTGAAAAAAGACACAACTAGATGGCGAGTAAGACAGGTCCCTCTCAGAGGCTACTGTGAGGCCCAGCACAGGGAAGATGCTTTTTCAATGTCCATAAGATGATGAGGGCGGGGCCTAAGGAGCAGATCTTCCAACTCAACTTGAACAAGAACATTTTGGGGCATCCAAGGTACATGCCCTGGATGGGTGATTACAAAACTGCTGCCAACTTTCTGCCCTTTCAGATTTCCTTGTAAAATGGAAGTTGTTAAACTGGTTGGACTTTGAGAAATTTCCCAATTCCAGCACTTGTTCAAATTGCTTGGCTGCTGATGGGCCGAGGTGAACTTAAATGTGGTTTGATTCTTAATTCGGTCCAAGCTCATCCATCAAACATTCAGGCCCCATTTGGTGACACCTTGACTGGTAAGCCCTAACTCAAAAATGCTGTAATTCTCTCTTGCCAAGACTGGATCCCAGTGAAAACCTGACTGAGGATACAAGTTGGCTACTACTTAACTCTTGAGTTTCAAAAAGGACTTACCAACCTCTCAGTATGAGGATTTAAAAGTATTCCCCCCATTAGTGTGTGTATAAGATGTATATATAAGTGTACATGTTTGTGTGGATATGTATACATATTTATATGATGTAGATACCAGCGGTCAACCTCAGGTGTGGCTGAGGCGCCACCCAGCTTGTTTTTTGAGGCAGGCTCTCTCACTGAACCTGAAGCTCACTGTTTGAACAGACAGCCCTCCATCAAGCCCCAGGGACCCTCCAGTCTCTGCCTCTCCTGGGTGGAGATTATAAGTGTAAGACACATAACATGTGACATTGTTGATACAGGTGCTGTGGATTGAACCTGGGTTCTTATGCTTGTATGATAAGTATTTTACAATTGAACCAGCTCAAAACATTCTTATAGAATTCTTCTGAACCATATATCTATAGAAAAAGTTTTTTTTACTGTTTTTGTTTTGTTTTTTTATTGTTTAAGACAGGGTCTCCCCTTGAATGGTCTGGAACCACTGTGCAGAAGAGGCTGGCCTTGAGCTAGGAGATTTACATGCTCTGCCTTCTGGGAGCTGGGATTGAAGGTGAGTGGCACCACCATCAACCCTAACTTTTTTTTTTTTAAGACAGAATCTCACTATGTAGCACAGGCTGGTCTTGAATTTACAATCCTCCTGCCTCACTTTTCCAAATGCTGGAATTACAGGTATGTACCACCATGCCCAGATAAAAAATAATTTTTCTCTCAATAACTGAAAAGAACAAAAGGTATCTATTTGTTCTTATACCTGCTAATACAGGACCAAACAACTGAAAATTGAGTGGCCTAAAACAGACATAAGCCCCACCTTCCTCTGCATCTCCCAATTGTGTAGGAGGGGAATACTGACATGGCCCAGCTGGGTGACATTTCTATCCACGGGTTGTTGATGAAAGTCATTCTGTGGTGTCTCCCTCATGCTGGCGTGGTCTGTGGGGCTCTGAGAGCAGCCTTCCGGGAAGGCTAGCAAGCTAGGCTCAGCTAGAGCTGTCAGTCAGGTATACATGAAGTTATCTTCAGCTGTGCAGAGGCTGCTGACCTGGCTGAGGGCTACAAGAATTAGTTCTCAGAACGAGGTAGGAACAGCATGACCTCTTAGGAGTCTCTGACGTCCCGCAGTGCCAAGTGTGGCAGCCTGCAATGTTCAAGGCAGCCTGCAACTTTGTCCAAATACAGTGCAGGGAGCATACTTTCACCTCCTGAGAGGAATAATGGAGAATGTAAGGTTAGCATTAATTCGGTGCAATCTTAAACACCTGCTCGAGGTCAGCATTCCTAGTGTAGACATAATCCTGATTATTTTCCTGCCTCAGCCTCTTCCTTGAACTCTGTATCTGATAACACCTCTGTATAATTCAATCATTCCATGTCTAAAACTGTCTCCTGGTGTCTTTCTAAACTTCTCAGTACTGAGTCATCTCAGAAAATTCCAACTTCATCCTTCTGAAAGCTCAACCTTCATGCCTTTGGGTGCTCAACATCTTCTCCCTTTCTCCCTCCCCCCTCTCATCAGTCTATCATGCTGACCCTACCTTTAACATACAAATGCACCTTGACTGGTCACAGGATAATGGTATGATAATCCCATGCTAAGTTGAAAATATCATATGCTAAAAATGCAGTTATCCGTCCAACCTACCAAACCTCAGTGCCTAGCGACAGAGAGCACATAGAATATTCATTGACCTACACAGCACCAGACATGGTTAGCCCAGGAAAAGATCAAAACTCATAGCTCAAAGTAGTTTTCACCAGCTGTGTGCCACTTCTGTCCATCATAAAGCCAAAACATCATTTCTTCAATCATCCAAAGTGAGGGACCCAGCATCTGACACTTCTATAACCACCATCCCTCCTACATGGCCTGAGCTGATTCTCTGCCTGATTAGATCCCTACACCTTCCCTCTACTGGGCCACACACAGCTACCTCTTTTATCCTTCTGGTCATTTGGTTGCCAAACTACAGCCACATGATTCTTAGGAAACGTAAGCCAGATGGTGCCATCTAGCTATCTGCCATCCTTGGGGAAAGCTGGTTCATACCGAGGGTGCCGCACCCTCATTGTGTGAACATTCACCCCCTACTTCCTCTGCTCCATTTGGCCACTGCTCGCCAAAGCAGCTTTTGTCTTAGTATCGGCTAGTGTCTCTTGGCAGACTTGTTCCCCCTAAAGCATCCATACAACCAACTATAACTTCCTTAAGTTTCTATTAAAATTCCCCTCCTTCCAGTGACCTTTGACACTGTGCCACTAAAAATGGCAGTTGTCCCTAATGCCTCAGTACCTCAGACCCTTCTCTGCTTTGAATGTCCACACTGTACCAGCTGTCACTTAACCCTTACACCTTTGTTTCTTTCTCCTTTCTTATTAGCATATGTACTTAATGAGTGCATTTTGTATAGCTATGCAGCCTAGTATGGTCCTACACTTTTGATCCTACCTCAACCTTTCAGATCCTGCAATTACAACATGTATCACCACGCCCTGCTAAAGCAGATACTTTTGACTGTTTGGTTCCCAACCGTATCCTTACACCCAAAACAGAGTTTGTCCATACAAAGGGGGTGCTCCAAATGTATATATTATATAAGGAATGTTTTGTTGGTTTTCTAAAATGATAGAAGAACAATCCTTTCAAGACAAGGAACTATATTTCTTTTTCTTTTTGGAGACAGAGTTTCTCTTTGCGCTCATGGCTACCTGTGACTCTGTAGACCAAGCTGGCCACAAAGTCACAGAGATCTGCCTGCCTCTGCCTCCAAAGCACTAGAATTAAAGATGTGTACCACCTACCACCTGGTTCCCACATTTCTTTTTGGATCCTTTCTCCTAGTCTTTCTGAGCAGAGGAAAGTGTGTACTTACTTCTCTTGTCCTATAAAATGCTATTAAGCAACAAATATTTCCTTTTGTACTTTTTTTCTCTAAACTGTCAAACATTCTGTTATGCTGGAGTAATTAATCCTTGCTAGTGCAGACTGGTTTAGAGCTGGCATCCAGCTGGTGTCACTAAAGAACCAGAGCCTCGGTCCCCGCCCTGCTTCTGACTGGTGCTGTTGTAACTATGTATCGGTCATGTTCTGGCCTCCAGCTTCCTGACCTAAAAAACCCGGGGCAATGACCTCCGGTTTCCCATCAGACTGATAAACAGAAATAGTCGACAGTGTGGATCCTGGCTAGGCAGAGAGGGCAAAATGTCAGTCACTTTCCTTCTCCCAAATCCACATGGATCAGCTCATCTTGGCAAGTTGCCATCATGGAGGAGGGTCCCAAAAGTCAATGAATAGAGTCCGGTACCGTGGCACATTCCTGTCATCCAAGCCTTTGAAAGGCTGAGGCCAGCCTGGGCTGTAAAGTAAAACCTTTTCTAAAATCAAAACACTTTTCCTACCCCACTGTCCCCCAAAAGAACACGTTTCTAAACATCATGACACCACAGACGGGATAGTAGAGGGGATTCCCAAGGAGAAGGAACTGCTATCCTTGGTTCACTCTTTTCCAGAACTCAACCAACTGGATGGAGTGAGAGGCCAGAGACACAGGTGTCCCTTTTTGTCCCTGACCAACCACAGCTGAACCTTGTAAACCAAACATCTGTGTGAGAAGTAACACAATCTCAGGAGTACCTAGTTTCTTTCAAATGTTTAATAAAGACATGGTACAGCACGTGCATACGTATCTGTGAAAAGGCCACCAAAAGAACAGCGGAGCAAGAGCTAGAGAAGGAAACAGGAAGGCGGGGTTAGCCAGGCCCAATCTCTGAATATGTGACAGTGCTCATTCAGCCATCCCAACCTTTGTGCTACTTTTGTCAAAACCAAAAACCACCGAGGGTCTCCCCGTGTGTCTCAGACTGACTTCACCCTTTCAAGGACGCTGCACCTGTTTCTGGGGTGCCACAGCGAAGCCTGGGCTCCATTTCTTCCCATACATCCAGTCTCACAAAACATCCACTCTGGTACAGTTCTGTTTTAAGGCTCAAGAGTACAGGCACTTTTCCCCCAGGCCACAGAGTTAATGGGGAGCAGCGATGTAAAGCTACAAGCCACAGGGCACCCAGCAATGCCACCTTTTCCCAGAGTCACGCTCTGTCCTTGGACCTAGACACCCACCTACCACCGCAAAGGTGGGACAGAGAGGGAAAGTCAGCACTGCAATGACAAGCCCTCTCTAACCCAGGACACAGGCAGCTAGCAGTAAAACCCAGGACACAGGCTGCCTGAGCAAGGCCAGCATGACAGGTCCCTAGCCTGAGACCTGACATTTGGTCAGGTCGAGGAGCCAGGACACACAGGCAGCTCTTTTCCCAGGGCTCCCTGGGAAGGGACTGAAGTTCCCAAGGTGGCACACAGACAGCATACCCAAGCGGGTGCCTTACCTCTTCCATTGTGGCCCTCCGAGGCAGCGCCTGGGAGACAACCCCAGCTTCCCAGAGCTGGATCCTGGGACCAACAGTGCTCTCGCCTCCGCCCGCCAGCTTGCAGCTACTTCCCCAAGCCTGGGACACTCCGGAGCTCTGGCTTTTCACCAGCTCCACCTGGGCTGTGGCTCCTCCCCCACTCGGGACTGGGAGCGGGGCGGGTCTCTATCCTAGCTGGACCTGCTGAGGTGGGGGCAGGAGGCTCTATCCGCGCTCCCCAGGCTTCGTGCCATCACTCCCTCTGCAACAGTTTCACTTTGTGCCCGCATCCGGTCCTCTCCCGCCACACCCCGCTCAGGGAAGTTGCTGAGAACATATCTTGTCCCTAAAGTTAGAATGAAAGGCTCAGGACATTGCTCTCCATTAGTGACACCCTGGCCCAACTCCTCCCCTGTTGATGGCTACTTAATTTCAGGAAAGCTGCTCAGGGCCAAAGAAAAGAAAGCCCAGAGTGCACGAACCAGGCAGGCGCGTTTTAGTGGGGGCGAGAAAGTAAGCTAAAGTAAAGACACCGGTTTTTGTTTTGTTTTTTTTCCTTTTTTAAAAAAATTAAGTTAGAAACAAGCTTGTTTTACCTGTCAATCCCAGCTCCCTCTCCCTCCCCTCCTCCCCCGCCCTCCCTACCAGGCCCCCCAGCCTCCCACCCAATCTCCACTCTGATCCCCAGGGAGGATGAGGTCCTCCATGGTAGATCTCCAGAGTCTGTCATTTCATCCAGGACAGGGACTAGTCCCACAAGAGTCCAGGCTGAGAGAGCATCCCTCATTGTGGGATGGGCACCCAAAGTCCATTTGTTCTACACCTGTTTTTAAGACAGGCATGGTCACTGTATTTGAATGTATGGCTCTCTCACAAGTGGTCCTGGGGACTGCTGCTGTCCTCTTGTTAGCAGGGCAGGAACTGGGGCTCAGAGAGATGGCCATAGCTATTCCAGAGTGATGCTGGTAGGAAACTGAAGCAAAGACAACTTTGTGGTCTGATCCATTTGCTCTTTTCCTAACAGCTGGTCCTGGCAGGAAACCCAAACTTCAGTTCCTAGATTTGGGCGGGTAGTTGGGGGTGGGGTGGGGTCCACACAGACGTTATGGGAATTGAAGGTGGGCAGAATGAATGACCTGTGCCCTGATTTATATGCAGCCTGTTGGGTTTTCTTGCTTTTTATGGACTAAAAATTCATTTATGTGTTTATTGTTTGATGCAGTGCCTTGCACTCAAACTGGTTTCAAACTCACTGTATAACTTGGAATGGCCTCCAACCTAACTATTTCTACTACTAGTACTACTACTACTATTACTACTACTGTTGTTGTTGTTTTGTTTTTGTTTTGAGACAAGGTCTCTCTACATAGTCCTGACTGTCCTGGAACTCACTCTGTATATTAGGCTGGTCTCGAACTCACAGAGATACCTTGTCTCTGTCTCTCTGTTGCTAGGATTAAAGGCATGCACTACCATACCCAGCTTCCAAGTTCTTAAAAATAAGATCGTCCTGTCCTGACTGAGGCAGTAGAGGATGACAGGTGAGGAAGTCACCTGCTTGCTTATCCCCTTAACAGGTGACAAACTGCAGGACTTCTCACAGTCACTTACACTCCCATTTCTCAAGACCCAGGGTCTTCTGTGACCTTCGCTCAACACTCTAGTTCATTCTATCAAGGATCCCGGGGTGGGGGTGGGAGGGTGGGAGGGTGGGGGGTTGGGAGGGGTGCTTTTAGGCCACCTGCTTCCTCATGCTTCCAACACCAGGGCTCCCCCTAGTGGCGTCAGGACAGCCCACAATGGCAGAGGCCTAAGCAAGGGCCACAGGGTCTCTCAAAAGCCCACCTAGATCTAGAGGGACTTCGAGGTAAGTTAGAGTGGTAAGTCCTAGTGTATACTAGGCACCGTTCATTGGTTGAGGGTGGGGACTATTTTGCCAGTAGGCAAAGAATTAAGCTTGGCTTCCTCCATCCCTTGGGCCCCTTTCTAGTTTGGTACTTTTAAAAAAATGTATTAAAAAGACACAAACATTTTTATGTGTGAGTATTTTGCATCCATGTACTTCTGTGCAGTATATGTATGAAGTTACCTGCTGAGCAAGAAGAGGTTTTGTTTTTTTAATCCTCTGAACTGGAGTTACAGACCATTGTGAGCCACCATGTGGGTGCTGGGACTCAAACCCAGGTCCTCTGCAAAAGTAAGTGCTTTTGACCACTGGGTCATCTCACCAGCCCCGCTCTAATGAGGGGAAGAGAGCATAGGGGAGATGATAGGAGATGGGGAAGGTATGGCGGCAGAGGGCATCTCGGGAAAGGGGTCGGGGAAGTAGGGAGGAAAGGATTACTAAACTAAATGTGTCTGAACAGTTTTCTTGGCATTACTTCAATACTGCATTTGTCTGTCGTTTACATTGTATTAGATCTCCTAAATATTAAAAAATGTTGCAAAGTAAACAGACAAAAAGAATTATGTTTGGAACCATATGCCATCCTGTTAATTCTCTTATGCTATACCTGCTAAGCACAGTTTGCCAGCTAACACTTGACCTTGAGAGGGTCCACAAGTCCCTGTGAGGTGCTCTTTGTCTTTAACATGAAGGCTGACAGGGTTAGCTCCAGGACCTATGGCCATTTGAAACCCTGGTATGACGCTTAACATTTGCAAGATCCTCATGCCATTTCTCTGTCCCTTTCTCCCTTTCCCTTAAAGCACTGGGCCAGTCAGGTGTGGCAATGAGGGAGCACTGTTTTAACCCCACCCGCAGTGATCTCAAAGTGCGCATGCGCCTCCGTCTTGTGAGCGGGCAGATCCTTGCACCCAGCTTGATAAAAAGGGAAACGGTGCATGCTGACAGGAGAGGGTGATGAAGGGGAGGGGGAACGGACGTGAAATTTGAATTTGAACCTGAGTCAAACTAGATCTCACTGTACCTTAGGAATGAACACAATTTAGTCAAAGATGAGGTCTGTCCAAGTACCTGGTATTCAGAAGATCTGCTTTAGCCCTGGGCCGGGAGGAATTTCCCCATGAGCTCAAGATAATCAGGGACAAGGAAATCGCCTGCTGCATGTCTCTGTCTATTGCCTGCCAAGAGCAGGACCCTGCAGACCTTTCCCTCTTATCTTTTTTATGAGCCCTACTTGCTAGCTGAGAATTGAGGCATGCAAGTTAAGTAGCCTCCTCCAGGCAAAACTGAGCAAAAAACGGAAGACCAGAAATTCCAATCCAGGCAGCCTGGCTCCAGACCCCACCCTCACAGCCAGTGTTCCCCTTTCTTTCGATCTTTAAGAAATGCCAAACAACAAACCCATATGATCTGAGAGCTTGAAGGTATACAGTAGTTCCCCTCATCCTGATTAGGTTCTGAAAGTGGGCTGTTAGAGCTGTTAACAGATAGGCTGAAGTTAGGCTCAAACTCCAGACATGTCTTTTAAGCCCCTTGCTTTGGTCTGCTTTCTCTATAGGGGAGATAATATGTGCCCCATTATGGTCACATCCATTCTTCGGGCCACTGCCCTTCAAGTAGATCAGCCATTACCATCTTATTCAGAGAACCCCTGACGACTTACGAGAGACAAGTTCAGGCTCGTTGACCTTCCTTTATAGAAGGAGGGGTTGGAGAGGGTCATTAGATCCTAAGCTAAAAATCTAGCTATTCCCTCCCTCCCTGCTATCTATAATTCTGCCCTAACTGCCTGTGTTCTATCTAAGGGATGCCTATAAGAGGTGGACATTTAATTGAAGCAGGGACTCCACCTTTGCAGTTCGGGGGAAGTCACCACTCATGCTGGGGTGGGACTTGCTATTGGTGAAACTGGGGGCCAGCCATATGCTTTCAAACCCTCTTACTTATGCATCCTTGAGTAAGCTCAGTAAACTCATTGGTTCACTGAGCTAGACTTGGGTGCAATCATTACTTTGATCCCTGGTTACAGCCTATTCATTCATGAATTCACAGGAAAAGATAATGCAAAAGGCAGTGAGCAACAGCCATCAGTATTCCAGCACATTCTTGATTGTTCCAAACCTTTCAGATATTACTTGAAACTTCTTAGTGTTTCCTATCACGTCACTGTTTTTCATTTCTTGGTAAATATATTACTTACATTTTGTGCAGTAAGTACAAATCCACAATACCCTAACATGAAAAAGGAATATTTTTTAAAATGGGGAAATGGGAAAGCCTGTGCATTCCCCAGTTCCCTGGGTAAACCTTGAGTGCTATCTGTCATGTGGCGACAAGGCTGGGGTGTGCAGATTGATTGTCGGAGTCAGGATGCTGCTGCTGGAGTAACCCGCTATTAATATTAACGCTATTATTGGTTACATTAATCATGTCTGAGGACTTTCAGCAGAACATATAATTTGTTTATGTATAATTTATATCCCTAGTACTTTCAAAAGGGAGAGAAGGAAAGAGGGAAGGAAGTTAAATTTATTGGAAGTCTATTGTGTAACAAGTGACACAACATCTATTTCATTCTATTTTTCATGATAATGTTTTCAGTATTATTTTCAGCGGGGCTCAGAAAGATCATAGCAGATGCCCTGGCTATACAAACACACAGGCTTGATTCTCCCTTTTCATTTTTTTAAACCTCTCTACCATGATGTGTGTGTGTATGTGTGTGTGTGTGTGTGTGTGTGTGTGATCCTTTTATACGTGTATTGTGTGTAGGTACATGTGGAAGCCAGAGGTTGACATCAAGTGTCTTTATCTTTATTGTTCTTCACCTTATTTTTTTAAAGATTTGTTTATCTATTTTGTGTTTTTTGAGTGCTCTATCTGCATGTACACCTTTATGCCTGAAGAAGGCATCAGATCCCCTATAGATAGTTGTGAGCCACCATGTGGTTGCTAGAAATCGAGTTCAGGACCTATGGAAGAGCAACCAGTGCTCTTAACCTCTGAGCCATCTCTCCAGCCCCTCTCCACCTGGTTTTTTGGTCTCCCAGGACTGGATGACAGATGAGCACTTGACCATTTGGCTTTTTACATGAGCATGAAGGATCCAAACTCAAGTCCTCATGTTTCACCCAGATATCAGTTCTCCCTTTGAATTGCCTGCCGCCCCCCCATGGCCTCAAAAGACTTTAATAATAAGATAGATAACAAGTAAAATAACATTAGTGTTCTATAGATGATAGGCATAGGCATGTGGATGGATAGGGAGGGACCGATAGCCAATCAGAAATACAGAATGGATTAATATATGATATACACGATTTATAGATTATATATAT